CAGCCCCCTGCGTCTCCTTGGTAACGACGCACGACGCCCGCCCAGACGCAGGAGCCCGCCTCGCGTCGTGGTGACTCACCAGCGCGTCCTCATACCCCGCCCAATGAGACCTGTTGGGCATCCTGGACCTTCTTTCCACAAGCCCTCTGCTAGAGAAGACCCCCCAGAGTGTACTACCCTGTCTTAAAACAAGAGTTTTCCAAAGTCCGTAGGTCTTAAGAGGATGAACAAAACCCCTAGAGCTTTCTTTTCAACATAGATCACGTTTGATGCTTTTGCATGCATACTCAGCCCAGTCGTTTTAGGGGCTTAAGATGAAATTGTCCAAAACTGAACTTCACCTCTGTTTCCCTTCGCTGTTGTTAACAGCACCCGCTAACTCAAAGAGCCGCCTAGGTCTCACATTCCTACATGCGGAGTCCTGCAGTTTATAGTCTGAGATATCATAAAACTCACTGCCGATGCCTCGTGATGTCTCGCCTCGACCACTGCAATAACCTTCCGAAATCATAGTTTCTCTCCATGATTCTCCTGTTACTCAAACAAAAACCCTTCAGTAACTATCGCACCCCCCAAAAAAATTCCTTAGCTTGGTATTCAGGTGGATCTGATTTGATCTCAACTTTTCATTTCATAGCACTTGGCTTTTTGCAGAACACATAAAGTGTGGCAGGTATCTCTCTAATCCTTAAAACAAGCAAGGTTGGCTTTATCATTCGCACTGCAGAGATGAAGAAACAAACTCAGACTTGCCCAACACTAAACACAGCTAGTCATTGATAGTGACAGGGTTCAAATAAAGGTTTATCCAACCCCAGAACCCACCAGGCTTTCTGGACACAACTTTTTTTTTTTTTAACACTGAAGTTTTTCTTAGGCTAGATCATTATAGCGGTTTTCCTTTGGGGATTTGTTGATTTACAAAGTAAAGTCCTATTAGTCAATTTAGCAATGTTTCTGAATGAATGCATGTTGTATTAATCCAGTGGTTCTCAACCTTGGCTGCACATGAGAATCACCTGGGAATCTTTTTAAAAATCCTGATTTCTGGGCCTCATCCTCCGGAAATTCTGTTTCTTTGTTACGATTCCCAGGTGATTCTCATGTGCAGCCAAGGTTGAGAACCACTGGGTTAATCAAAAGCATTTATATGTTAAAAGTAGTTGTAGGTTCAAGACAATTTCATTCCTTTTCCAGTTTGCCAGTGGTTTGGGGGACAACAATAATAACTTCATAGGCCCTCAGGAGCCCGAGGCAGGGTTCAGAATCAGTGCCTTACTTTGCTCAATGTAAGTATTCACTATTTCCATGCATGGAATACACCTTCATGCCTGCTTTTTGCAGGAAGCCGCCCATTGTCTTCACTAGCAGAGAAGTGTGAACAAGGATCCCAGAACGCTGGTGAACCTTGAACCCATGGCAAGGGCCAGAGTTTTACACCAATTGTCTAGTCCTGACAATGGGGGCTCAAGTTCCTGCCTGATCAAATAGTCTCAGAGTAAATCCTTCTAAGATTTACTGACCTTTAAGATAGTCTGTCTGCTACCGCAATTGCCTGCCTGACTAAGGGCTTTATGTGTACCCAAGTTGAATAAAAGGCTGGCGAGGCCTGGGCACCAGTGGTAAGTCCTTCCTCTTGAGTTGGGCTTGCCCGCCTGGCCCCCCAATATTTCCAAATTATTGTTTCTTGTCTTGTCTCTTTCATTTGTGTGCGGCCCCTCTTCCTGATCCTGAACCCTGAACCACGTGGGACGGGGGAGAACATACTCACTTTTATCCATGCTGTTGCCTCTGTTTGAGATATTGTTTCCATCTCTGTAGATCCAACTTCCACCTTCAAAGCCACTCCTCAAAGCTACCTCCTTCATGAAGTTTTCTTTATCCAAACTGAAAAAAAGTACTTCCTCTTATGAATTCACACAGCAAATTTTAATACTTTGTCTGGTAGAACTTATCACTTTGTATTACATATTATCTATGTACATATTTTTCCTATTATAAATTACTAGAGGCCTGGTGCACAAAAATTTGTGCACTCGGGGGGAGAGGGTCCCTCAGCCCGGCCTGTGCCCTCTCACAGTCTGGGACCCCTCAGGGGTGACCACCTGCTGGTTTAGGCCTGCTCCCCAGGGGATTGGGCCCAAGCTGGCAGTCAGACATCCCTCTGGCAGCCCGGCAGCCCTCAGGGGATGTCCACTTGCCAGCAGGGAGCAGACCTAAGCTGCAGTCAGACATCCTTAGAGCTGCTGAGGAGGTGGGAGAGGCTCCCACCACCACTGCTGTACTGGCAGCCATCAGCCTGGCTTGTGGCTGAGCAGAGCTCCCCGCTGTGAGAGCGCGCTGACCACCAGAGGGCAGCTCCTGCATTGAGCATCTGCCCCCTGGTGGTCAGTGTGTGTCATAGTGACCAGTCATTCCCAGTTGTTCTGCTGTTAGGGTCAGTTTGCATATTTCCCTTTTACTATATAGGATAGAGGCCTGGTACATGGGGGGGGGCCGGCTGGTTTGCCCTGAAAAGTGTCCCGGATCACGGTGAGGGTCCCGCTTGGGTGCCTGGCCAGCTTGTATGACGGGCTGATGGCCGTTTGCAGCTGGTCACATCCCCTTCAGGGTGAGGGTCCCGCTGGGCTGCCTGGCCAGCCTGGGTGAGGGGCTGATGGCTGTTTGCAGCTGGTCACACCCCTTCAGGGTGGGGGTCCCCACTGGGGTGCCTGGCCAGCCTGGGTGAGGGGCTGATGGCTGTTTGCAGCTGGTCACACCCCTTCAGGGTGGGGGTCCCCACTGGGGTGCCTGGCCAGCCTGGGTGAGGGGCTGATGGCTGTTTGCAGCTGGTCACACCCCTTCAGGGTGGGGGTCCCCACTGGGGTGCCTGGCCAGCCTGGGTGAGGGGCTGATGGCTGTTTGCAGCTGGTCACACCCCTTCAGGGTGGGGGTCCCCACTGGGGTGCCTGGCCAGCCTGGGTGAGGGGCTGATGGCTGTTTGCAGCTGGTCACACCCCTTCAGGGTGGGGGTCCCCACTGGGGTGCCTGGCCAGCCTGGGGGGTTTGTTTAGCTTCTATAATTGAAACATTGTTGCTTCCGGAGCTCAGAGCTGGGCCGCAGCAGGCGGGGAACCTTGGCTTCCTCCATCACTGGAGCTAGCAAACCTCCTGTTCGCTTCAGCTGCATGGCTGCCGGCCGCCATCTTTGTTGGCAGTTAATTTGCATATCCTGCTGATTAGCCAATGGGAAGCGTAGCGGAGGTATGGTCAATTACCATGTTTGTCTAGTATTAGATAGGATGTTCCTTAATAAAAACAACAGTTGTCTTTGAATCTCCCATAGTGCCTGGTACAGTGCTTTGCATGGAGGTAGGCACTTAACCATTGTCTAATGAACAAAAGAATGATTAGGAATAAGGTTACTGCATAGGAGTGTTCGGTTTGCACACTGTACAAGAACAGCACATATAAGAATGTGCTACTTGACATCAATGGCAAACATTAACTTTCATAAAAGTACAAACAAGCCTGGAGATTCCAGCCTCCTGGTCAAGTTCTGGAGAAGGGATGAGCTGGCTCCTACAAAAACCCATCTTAGCTGTATATGGCCACACACACACACACACACACACATACACACACATACACACACACACACTCAGGAGAACATTCACCTACATACCGTCACACACACCTACACAAGTTATACCTGTCCTGACTTCATTTCTTATGAAACCTACAATTGCTTCTCTCACTTACCGGGCACTTTCAAAGATTTGCTTCCCATTCCCCAACTTTGAACTTGATATAATTGCCTACCATGCAGTTGGAAGAGCAACACAAAGTATTTGGAAATTGTCTGGAGTGTGTGGGAAAAGGCAAAAGTATAGGCAGCTGTGTTCGCACAGACAGAGCTGCCACAAGTGGTGCTCCGGATGGCTCTGCCGGAAAACAGCCACTCAGGTTGCGTGATAACAAATTAAATTTTAGTTGCAGAATGGAGTGCTGTTTTCTAATTGTGTAAGAGCACCATATGGGCTGGCAGCAGCCCTGCTCCAGAGCAGGTTATGGAGTCAGAGAACTCTGCAACTTACCATCTGTAAAGACTTGAGCTAAGTTATTTCTCTTTCTGTGCTGAGACTTTCTGTTTCTTTGTCTATAAAATGATAATAATAATTCCTAATTCAAACACTGTTGTGAGAACTAAAGCCTGGAAGCCTAGCACAAAGCTATCAATCGTAACGATTATTACCAATGGGTAGTGATAGTATGTAAAACAATTTAAGTGATCCAATGGTTCACTTTCATTTAAATACAGAGCTTTAATGCTCCTAAGACAGGGACTGGGTTGTGCTTTAAATATATATATATTGATTTCAGAGAGGAAGGAAAAAGGAGAGAGAAACATCAATGATGAGAGAGAATCATTGATCAGCTGCCTCCTGCACACCCCACACTGGGGATCGAGCCCACACTTCAGGGATGTGCCCTAACCAGGAATTGAACCGTGACTTCCTGGTTCATAGGTTGATGCTCAACCACTGAGCCACACCAGCCGGGCTAGATTGTGCTTTTGTAATGACATTTATCCTGTATGATACTAACCAGAAAAAACATGAAGCAGTTAATTATCTGGTTATTATTTTAGAAAATAATGTTTTCAATTTTAGAGGTCAAGTTTCTTATTTGCTAGTATTTACTACATAGTTACTATGAACAACTTATAAGCTTAATTAATGGGGGTTTTAACCATCGTTCTAATTTCTTTGGCTACTTTTTTTGGTTAAAAACACGACTGGAGAAAAAAAATGAATATGTTTCATGTACTCTGATGCATCAGGATATTATCTTATTTAAAAACAATTTAAGATATGGATGTAAGTCACATTACCATTTTCAGTAGCAAGCATTTATTAAGAGCCAGCTTTAAACATCATACCATAATTAAAGCTTTATTCGTCCTTGCTTTCCCCATCTCTTACTGACCCATTTCTCTGCTCTCCTTTGCAACCTGATTCCCCCAAATAGTTGTCTATACTCTTCACAACCCCTCCCTGTCTCTCCTCTCACACTCTCCTAACAGGCTTTCACTGCCACCATTCCACCCAACTGTTAAGGTGACCAATGACCTTTACGTTGCCAAATCTAATGGCCACCTCTTAGTGGTTATCTTTTCAGTAAGTTGATCATTCTCTCCCATTGATAAACTTTTATTCTCTTGGTCCAGGACACCACACTTCTTCGGCTTTCCTTCTTAGTCTCCTTGGCTGCCTCTTCTTCTTCCAAACCTCCCTCATTACTAATATTCTTTTCTCTCTCTCTCTCTCTCTCTCTCTCTCTCTCTCTCTCTCTCTTACAAAAAGCTGTGCATATCCATACCAATAATAGAGGAATATGCAAATTGTCCAGGACACCATCACAGTAACAGTAACGACTGAACAGCAGGATGCATGGGGCGACCAGGCCGGCACGGAGGGGCAGTTAGGGGTGACCAAGCCAGCAGAGGAGGGCAGTTGGGGGTGACAAGGC